GACGTCTTCATCATTTTTTGGCTCCTTCCCTTTAATACGCTCAAAGACACTGGGATGTGGTCCATGGTCTTCTTCTCCATCATCTATAACCAACTTGAATTTTGGCAACTTGTTTTTGAAACCAGACATTACCATATTCACTCCAAGTGGCTGTGGAAAAGGATTTTCATCTACTGCCATCTTCTTCTTATCATCGAACGTAATTCGTCCTGATTCAATGGCATCCTGTAACATATGGCAAAAAACCAAACAATTGTTAGCCAAATGTGACCATGCATTATGCCACTTACAATATTTTTTACGCTTAATTTGTTCAGAATTTGGCAATTTATGCTTATCGCTCAACTTTATCTGCTTATCCTTATATAATTTATCAAATATAAGGTCAGCTTTGATTACATCGAACGAGAACGTTCTAACTTTTATGTTTTCATCTTTCATAGGCTCATTCTTGCCCGATGGTCTAGGTTTAGCCATTATAGGACAAGTATACGTGTCTCCTTTGACTAATTCGGCCAAACACATTTCGGTCTGATCGTATGACTCATTATTGATGGTATGAACATCAAAATTTGGGTCTCTATAATAAGTCCCCTTGCTAGAATTTTTTATCTGCTCTTCTTCTCTTATCAATCGTTCATACCTAATCACGTTCGCGCTCAATTGGAAAAGATCAGGAAATTCCTTGTCTTGAAATTTCTTTTTCAAATCAAAACTCAAACAACCTTGAGTGATTTTGACAAATTCTTTTTCGGACAAAGGTACAAAACATTCACTTCTTACTGTCTTGAACCTTTGGAGGAAACCTTCTGCCCATTCGTTTGGCATTTGATGTAGATTCGCCAAATCGGCCAACGTAACTTCAGACTCAGTCTTATAAAACTGAGCGTGGAATAATTGTTCCAATTGTTGTCATGTTTGAACAGAGTTCACTGGCAAATTGATGAACTAGGAGAAAGCTACTTATGTTAATGAACTAGGAAAAAGCCTCATTTTATGATAATCAGTTACGTCACCACTTTGCAGTGTGAATCGCCCTATGTGTTCTAGAGTAGACACCTCCTCTAAACCGGTAAACAGTGAGAATTCTGGCACTTTATACCCTCTAAGCCATGGATATGCTTGGTCTACCCAATCAGGATATGACTTTGTATAAGTCGGCCTAATGACAGGACGTACCCCAAAAGCCATCTGCTCCTGTACAATTTCCATAATTTGATTCCTCAACATGACGTTGGGGTCATATGGAATTCCTACAGGTTGGTTAACTGGTTCGTTTGTTTGAGGCCTGATGTTTGGTCCTTGATTGATAACAAAATTATCATGATTTGGGCCATTTTTACCATTAGCCTGAACATTTATTCCCTCATTAACACATGGAGTATTCTGCCCATTATTTAGGACATTATCTCTTACATTTGGATTACCCCCCAAGTTAGGCGTACCACTACCATTATTCTGATTTGGCATTACAACATCTCCTGGTTTGAAGTAGAGGGACCAAAAGGTGGTTCTACCCCTTGATTTGGATTTAGAACTGGTGTCCCACAATTGTCCTAGTTTGAAAGTGGTTTGCAAGAGGCATAACTGGTTAACAAATTTGGCCTACTAACTTATTCATTATTTCGTCCAAAGTATTCAGTTGTTTGGCCATGTTGTCATAATGTGCATTTCCATTTTGAGTAAATCTTTCCATATTATGAATATTTCGAAGATTTACCTGTTCAATGACATCTTGTGTGAGTTCTCCAAGTAGTGCACGCATAGTTCGAGGACTTAACTCTGCCATTGATTCGTAACGACTGTTATTGCTCTGATTCTGTCCATCTATTCGTGGAAAGCTATGCTGCTTCTCATATCTCTCGATCATAGACTAGACTCCTCCCTGACTTGTTGCTTCCTTATCGGATCTCTGAGGCATATTGTTTCACCTTTTGTATTTTCAACACCAAATACTACTGTTCCACTGGGTGTGCCAAATTGTTTTGCACGGGTTAGTCGCTAACAATTAAAAAGGGATCAGAAGATTGTGTAAGGGAGAAACCTCTTGAGACAAAGTTCCAAAAAAGGGTGTTTTATTGGCGATGATTTTACAATTGGAAAATAAAAACAGAATGTCTCCAAGGGACGCAAGCACACGAGTTACTGAAAAGAAGTATTTAAATCTAAACTAAGAAATTGAAAGTTACATATTCTCTGTTTGAGAGTGTTTGATTCGGGGCCTTTTGCTCTATGTCTTTTCTTCCTTTTATACTCCCTGGATGATCGCTTCGTGATCAACCGCTTAAAAACTGCTTGATCGCTCTATAACTACCAACTTTCTTCGTAGTGGCCAACTTGTCATGGAACTGCCTTCTCTAACTGCTGCCATTACTTTTTGTCATTTAACCGTCTTCAATTGAATTCCTTGAATCGTGGAACGTGATAGAGTTACTCAATAACTGCTTCATTAACCGCACTTTTGGGTAACCATAACATCTTATGTTTGCTAAGATCCTGGGAGAACAGGGTCACAGCTCTGGGCGACTGTATGACAATCCATTTGCTCAAATCTTGGGCGACTTACAAGCTTGGACGATGGTATTACCTCGTTCATGGGCTTCCCTATTTGGGCCTTTATCCTGAATTGCCTGATTGGACCGTTCTTTAGGCTATCTGATTTGGGGATCCTCCAATTAGGCTTCATTCCTTGAGCTATTTGATTTGGGCTGAACTTTTTGTGTGTCAACAGATTGATCAGCGTTTAAATTTAAATATGCCATTTAATTGAAAGATTTGGTTGAACATAGTATGCTAGAATGCAAACTCCAAATGAAGGTGCTTGTATGATATGTAATGAGAATCAAAGTTTTCCGATTTAAACTTGTCAAGGATATTATACCATTTGGAATTGATTTTACTAAATTTGCTATAATTATATAATAATATAATTCTTATCGTGTTATATCTTTTAAAGCATAATATTTATTGACATCCACCTAATTTATGAGAATAAATCGATTCACCTATATGTTTTCATTTTTTTTCTTAATCTTTATGCATTCTAAAGAAACTGCTCGAGTTTTAACAAAGCAGCTCTTCGAGATTGAATAGATTAATTGGAAGGTTTGAAAGAGAATGTTGTTTTAGAGTGTATAATACACGTTCTTACCGAATTTATAGGATTAGCGCCACCACACAAAGCAAGATAACAACGGTCATTTGGTGAATCTTGACCAATATAGGATATATAACTAGTGATTTCAAATGTAGATGTTAATCGTATTTTGATAAGTTTACGTAAGAGAGAATTTGATTTTTTTGGTTAATAGTGAAAAAGTTGACATACAATTCACTTTTACGGTCACTCTTCATAAACGAACATGAAATATGAAAATAAATTTCATGTCCTATGCCTAGTTGTGGTAGTAAATTCAAGTTTAATAATTAACCACTTTCTAAATATATTGTATTAGGTGAAGTTTGTGAATCCAAATTAAAGTAATCTGGATGGAATCAAATCCATTTGATAACAGCCCAAAATTGGAGGATGTTAAGTGGGCAGCCGATCAGAGGGAATGTTTGTATATTAGAAAATGACACAAAAGGCACTAAAATGGAACATATGGCACAATGTAGTATTTGTTTGAAAACTTTCAACCATCCGTTCATGGGTCTCATTAATCCTAATACGATAGTACGAGACTTAATCTCCAATGAGGTCGACTCCTTATAAAAATCACATTTTTGTGATTTTTTTTTCTTCAAATATGGTCAAGAAAGACTCAATTTATGTTATTATTTGTTTTGGGCTATTTATATTTTTAAAATTATAATTTTCAAAATATATTGATTTTTTCCCAACTAAACTCGATTTAAGAAATTCTTATATATTTCCTTTTTCAAAATATCGCTTTTGATCAAGAAATGATACTATTGAAAATTAAAGTGTAATGTATTTTGATTGAGCCCAAACTTTTGGTACCTTGATGTTTTTATAAGGGTAATTAGTATAAAATGTCCCTACCTTTTAAGTTTATTGTGGAAAACGTTCATACCTTTTATTTTTTGACATTTTTTCCCTCATTTCAACATTTCTTTGCGCTGGACGTCCTTTCGTCTACATTCCGTCAGTTTCTCCGTTAATTAAATACAAAAACGTCTTTTTTTTTCAATAAACAAGGGTAAAATTGTCTTCACCCATTTCACCCCTTCTTCCCTCCATCAACTTAATCCATAAGTAACAGTAGCAACATCATGAATATGAAAATACTTTAAATGATTACGTTAAATAAAGAAAAAATGTCGTGAACAACATTATATTTCGAAAATTCCACAACTACTGCTACTGTCATGTTGGGTTACTAGAAAAATTTATAAACACATATATTGAATGGGTGGTCAATTTATAAAGATTAATACCGGATGTTCACTTCCAGTTTATGCTTATTAAGAGTGAAACCCACTGAGTAAATTGAGAAGAACGAGTGGAAATGGGTGCTGTGAAGTACGTATTACATTTCAATGGTGAATGGCTCATTTTGGCTCAATGGAGAAGATGAATTGCTGCTATTCACTTCTTCTAAGAATTGAATTAACCTTGTGATAATAATCTCTATGTTGTTATAATTTTTCTGAAAACATCCCTGCCTTTAAAATGAATTGGTGATAAACGTCTCTATCTTTTAAAAAATTTGTGAGTAACGTCCCAACCTTTCAAAATTTTGGCGAGAAAAGTCTCTGTTTTCTTCTATTTTTCTCCCGTTTATGCACACAAACAATTCAAACTCTGAATACACTAATTCCATCACAGAATCTCAGACACAATTTATCCACCAATTAACTAAAAAAATTGAAGAAAAATGAGCACGTGCAATAAAACAATTCAAACATAACTTTTCATTTAAAATGTGCAAAATATTCACTATGCAGCCAATAAAAGTTCTGAACGTGTTTAATTCTGTTCAGTATTCAAAAATAGCAAAATGAGGTGCTACATTATATCTACAAACTGTATTACACTAACTACGCACTGAATGAACAAAAACAAAAGCAAAAAAAATTAACAGGAGAACTTGGCTGACAGCTTCATCCTAAGGAAGTGGTGTCCCTTTGCAGCCTCTCTTATTTTGCCCTGTTTCACCACATTTTGTACATGTAATTATCAGCCCCGATCTTTTTTGTTGACTTGCAGTTGTTTCTCGAAGTTGATTGCGAAGTTCAGGCATTGCTCTTCGACTTTGTACACCTCTTCGGCTGACTTGAAGAAGCCACCTCATTTGGCTCTTTTCTTCTATTTTTCTTTGGCTTCCCAGCCCTCTTTGTGTAGACTGGTGGATTGAGAGGGTTCAAACATGGGGTTGGCCATGCGCTCGGACCTGTGATGGGAGAAATTGAAGGTGTATATGTCCTCATATATGCAACCTTCTTGTAGATATCATCCACGAACTCCATCATGTTCAGACCTCTAGATACAACGAAGGCAATCACATGGCTACATGCAATTCCTAATAATTGTCAACCACGACATGTACAAGTTCTTGCCCTTAAATCCATAGCATGTAACACAGTTCCTGCATTGTGTCAAACTTGAAACTTTTCATTGCCTGCGTATTCAGCCCATTCCATCCTTGCGAGCTTACCATTTTTCTCGAGAATCTTCAGAATTCTAGGTCCTATTGCTGCTATCCACCGATCACAGGACTCCCTGCGGCCTACAATTCTTCTTATCAAATATACCCTTATATCCTCTAGCATGGTTAATGTCGGCTTCTCTCTTGCAGTCACAATTGTACTATTAAATGATTCACATAAATTGTTGAGAAGCATGTCACACTGATTCCACTTTCTGAAGTGGGATTTACTCCAATGAGAAGCTGGCTTTCCTTCAAGCCATCCATAAGCAGCCGGGTCCAAGTCCAACATCCGTTGCATGTGTTCAAGCCACTGTGATACAGTAGTGGCTCTGACTACATCCCGCAAACAATTCTTTAAAGTCAAATCCTTGTGAGAGAGGCTAAAATTGTTATATAGATGTCTAACACACGTCCTGTGCTCTGAATTTTCAAATAAGGACTCAATTGCATTAGTCAACCCATTTTGCTTATCTAAAATGAATGTCCAATGCTGAGTGTTGTGTCTATGCAAATCATCCTTCAGTAACCCCAAAAACCATCTCTGATTATCCCCATTTTCAACTTCAACAACTGCATATATCACTAGATACATACCATTATTAGCATCAACGCCAACTGCAGTCAACAACTGGCCACCAAGCTCTGTCTTCAAAAAGCAACCATCTACCCAATCACCCTTCTGCAACCCCGAACAAAACCATCTTTCAATGCTCCAAGGCAAATATATAGCTTTCTGAATTCTCCAGCATACCCCTCAACCAAAGCAGTGGTCCCAATATTTGTCCTCTTCAACTCTTCACAATAATCCCATAGCAATTTGTAATGCTCCATCACACTCCCTCTAATTTTTTCAAGTGCCTTCTCCTTTGATCTATACACTTGCCAATGTGAGATATCACCTAAACCACCCGCTTAACCCTTTCCNGTCGAGTCAACTGGATTCCCTTTTTAACAATTTAAGCTTTTAAACAAGATGAGATGGTTCAATAGATTTGTTGACCTTCTTATTATTCATCTACAGGTATTATTCTACACAACAGTTAACTGAAAAAAGTGATGTTTATAGTTTTGGAGTAGTCCTTCTTGAGCTCATATGCGGTCGGGAACCGCTCACCCATACCGGCACTCCAGATTCTTTTAATTTGGTTTTATGGGTAAGTATATAGTTTTCATAGTGTTTTTGCCACATTATTATTCATTTATTATTTATTTTATTATTATTTTATAATTATTGAGAATGTTAAACTGCACAAGTTTTTCCAATTTTTTCAATGGAGTTCTTAGCTTAATACAGTTTTAAGCAGGAGCCAACTACATTTTGTAGTGCTTTAGTTCAACATTTGACTCAATATTCTTGCTGTCTACTATGTACATGTACATATCATTTCTATTTGAATAAATCTTCTTGGGGCACCGTGCCCCCTCCAATGGGGATAGGCCCTATCCGTCCAGCACTTCTCTTTCTATTTTCACTTTTTTCTTTGACATGTCGAATGAGTTGGTTGCCTTGTTAATAAGAATGAAAAGGGTATCACTTAGGAATCTTTAAAGGATTTAATCATTCACCTCACATTGACAAATTCAAGAAGAAAAATACACGTATCACGAGTTCATATAGTTCGATAGCAATTCAGTATAACAAGTTAATGACAACTTTTCTGAGTCTCATATTGCTCAAGAAAACTTGCCTTGGCTCTACAAGACACTTTTAAAGTAAACTATATGCCGTTCTTGTAGCAGTAGTATCACCAAGCACCCCTGCTTGTAGACTCTACTTGCTATGGGTGACTTGGGAAAGGACTATTTTCAGTAGAAAACTAATTCAGATGTTGGATCTAAAATAGAGGTGGATGGGTCCTGAATCACTTTTGGGAAGTCAATCTTGTCAGTTTATTAGCACGTTGGACATTCTCTTCTTGCACCCATTCATAACGTGATTTCTGTAACCATAGACATTTTATGCTAATCAATAAATAGTAACAGAATATTTTGTGATTTTATTGCAGGCCAAGCCATACTTGCAGGCAGGAGCATTTGAGGTTGTGGATGAGAGCATAAAGGGAAGTTTTGATAGTGAGAGCATGAGAAGGGCTTCTTTAATTGCTTGCAGGTCTGTTGAAACTGATGCACTTCGCAGGCCAACCATTGCACAAGTACTAGCGGAGCTCAAAGAAGCCTATAGCATCCAGCTTGCCTATCTTGCATCAGCTCGTCTTATAAATTAATATTTTGTTATTACGTACTGTCTGTAAATTTTGATTGAGTGAAGTGACCTCGGCTGAGTCTAGAGACTTAATTTATATGAATTATGTTATATAGGGCGAAATATGCTAATTTATGGGGAAATGAAAACTTGTAACATGTTGTTAAGCAATATTAGACTGCATAATATTATCCATTACATTTGTTAAAAGTTGGATCACCGGACTCATAATTTTGTTTCAAGAACAGTAATTTACTCATTTTAAATATGAAAGCTGGTGAATGGAACTTGACAAGTTCACATCTTTGACGTCTCCCAAATGAATAGACTTTGGAGTGCTGGAACATGGGAAAATTTGCGGTTGTAGCCCTCAAACAATGTTATTTGATTCATTTGAGTTTTCATTTAAATTTTTTTAATTTGCACATCTCAAACTTCCAATTTGAATGGAATCTATTGAAGATTTTATTAGTGAGAGCTTGATTTGCACATGACCACATTAGATTGGACATTCTTGTCATTAGATTATATTTCAGCCCCTCTCGTGCCCCAACCCCCATTTCTCCCCCAATTCTTGTGAAGGAGGGAGCTTCTCCGAGGTCATCGTGAAAGAAAGGGAAAGAAAGGTTTTAGATTACCAATAGGAGAATTAGAGGGAAGCACTGTGTTACGAACAATGGTGGCGACCTTCGGACAAAGTCGTAGATTTCATTCAATAAGCTTGTTACATTGCAAATCACGTTCCAATTAATTTTCCTTATTTAACTTAAATGTATCGTTTTAAATAGTATTATGGCAAGTAAGGGTCATTTCCTGCAGAGGATTGATTCAATTATGTCAATTGCGAACTAAAAAGTAAAATTAATAATAATATACGAAATAGATTAAATGGGAGGGGAGGAGGGTTTGGTTTGTTGAACTAAGGAAAGCGATAAATTTAAACTAGAAAAGACTTGAAATTTGAAATAAACAAATTGGTTCTTGATTGAATACGAGAAAATGTGATTGGAGGATATTTCGTCACCACGAGAATGATTTTCATGTCAATTATCACAATAGATTTTCATTCTTAAGATTAACAGTGGCGACCTTCGGACAAAGTCGTAGATTTCATTCAATAAGCTTGTTACATTGCAAATCACATTCCAATTAATTTTCCTTATTTAACTTAAATGTATCATTTTAAATAGTATTATGGCAAGTAAGGGTCATTTCCTGCAGAGGATTGATTCAATTATGTCAATTGCGAACTAAAAAGTAAAATTAATAATAATATACGAAATAGATTAAATGGGAGGGGAGGAGGGTTTGGTTTGTTGAACTAAGGAAAGCGATAAATTTAAACTAGAAAAGACTTGAAATTTGAAATAAACAAATTGGTTCTTGATTGAATACGAGAAAATGTGATTGGAGGATATTTCGTCACCACGAGAATGATTTTCATGTCAATTATCACAATAGATTTTCATTCTTAAGATTAACAACAATTCGAGAATAATTACAAGTTCAATTACCTTAATCTCTTCTTACATGTTAGTCAAATAAAACAAACTCTTTACTCAACCATGTTCATTAAACAATCTAGAACAAACTCTCTACATTTAATTTAACAAACGCATTACGACAAAAGAGATGAATTGAATTAAGGGTAAACTCGCAAGCTCAGTTTAGTAACTTAAATGTTAATCCACATACATTCAATTGAAAATTATTCATAATCTATTGAAATGTTAATCCAAGCTCAGTTTTTTTTTGCCCCCCTTTATTGACCAAAGAAATGAAGAAGAAATTATTTTGATGTCTTCAATAATTGATAAAACAAGAACTTGATCTGTGATAGCATTATTTGATGTTCAATAATTCACAAAACAAAAACGTGGTAGACTCACAGTTAATTTTAAGATTAGCTTTATTTATGTTAAGTCAATATTCATGTCTTTGATTTTTCAGTTTAAGAGGGTCGAAGCAATTTATTAAAGTAGAACTGTAGAAGTGTGAATTGAGTGGTCAAATTGTAATAAAACGAAATTACCTTACCTACCAAAATAAATAAATAAATCTCGAAAATGGTATCCAATGCTTCTAGGCAAAAAATAAAAAATTAAAAAAGAAAAATTAAAAATCGGACAGAAGTTACTCCCTTTGTCCACTACATATTCCATTCCATTTCTTGGCCCATTTCTTGAAAATGGAGCAACATTTGTTGTAGGAAATCAGATGGACATGTAGCGACACAAGAAATTGTACAATTTCTTTCCCTTCTTACCAAATTAATTGGAAAAGAGATATTATCTGATGCTTGATTATTTCAATTTAGAAAAAAAAAAAAAAAAAACACCACGTCAACTTGAAAAGCAGCTCCAAACTCGGTGCCACAATCATGAGAACCGAACAAATGTATTAACTGTTTAAGGTAACTATGATAATGAGGTATGAGAGAAATAAACTTTATTGTTTGCTTGCCATGCTTTCAAAGAACACATGGGGCAAGGGAGGACGAAGAACATTTTAGTTAGGAAGCACAATCAAACTTTTTACAAGTCGAATACTTTATTATTGATTTTTGAATAATTAATACTCGATCTGAGAAAATACAAATTTACATTTAAAAAATATTTCTTCATTGATATTTTGCTCATTATTATCATCCATTTGATTTTGAACAGTCATTTTATTAATATTTGCTCATCACAAAAATATGTATATTTATGTTTATTTAATAAAAACAATCAATTTAGGCGATCGAAAGGAAAAAAACTAATATTAAATCAAATAAATAAAATTCATTAAATATAAGTTAAGCCTTTGCTTGGCCCTATTAAATTTCATTTCATTTTTTTCTTCTATTTTCAACCACACAATTTTTCATAAAATAATAATACATGTAGATCGAATTTTTTTCTTCTTTTCAATCATTCATTTTTCAAAAAAAAAAAAAACACTATTCCACCCATTTCATTTTCCAAAATAGGGGCCAAACGGGGGCTAAATTGGATATAATTAATACAGACACATTCTATGTATATAAATAGGATAGGAGAAAATGCAAATTTAGGTTCTAATTAATTGAAAATTTGTAGAAAAAATTATAGACAAATTTTAAAACATTAGAAGGGTTAGGGTTTTTATAAAAGGTGGGAGAGTGTCAAATAAAGTAAGAGAAAGGATGAAAAAAATTCAAATTGATTATGATTTTGCTCATGTTTGGTGGAGATTAAAATCAGATTTTTAGTATAGTTTGATAAAAGTTAAAAAGTTAAGAATTCCATGAAATATATTATTAAAATTAATCGTTAATTTTGATTTAGATTAAAATTAAAATTTCAATTGATATCAAACGGCACTTATCCACAATCCCAAAAAAAAGAAAAAAGATATCAAACGGGGACTTATCCACAACCCCAAAAAAAAAAAAAAAAAAATCGGAAAAACTCAAAAGTTGGGGGTTAAGTGACCCCAGTACCCCCTTGGGTCTGACCATGACCTGGGGATTATTTTATTCTGGAAAAGCGCTAATTGCATACACTTAGTTCATGTTTGGTTTAACTTAAAATTTTGCTAAGAATTTAAGTCAAAGTGAATAATTAATTTTGACAAAATATTTTATTGAACCACAATTTTTATCAAATTTTCAATCACATGTTTCGTCACCTTTTAAAATCTTCTAAAAACTTGATTTTTAATTACACTAAATTGGGGCTTAATGTATTTAAAAAAAGAAAAAAAAAAAAGAAGAAGAAGTGAAATTGTACTTTTCGTTAGCACATACCAAACATGCAAATGCTAGGCAAACACGTAGAATCGTGGTACCAGGAAAAGGTCTACACTTCCCTTCCTTTTATTTATTTATTATTATTTTTTTTTATAGGAATTTCAGCTTAGGTAAACATAATTTTCAACACTTTGACTAAATTTGCATAACCGTTGATGATCAATAATGAACATAGTAGAATTATGTCGTTTCTTTTGACTATTTACATTAAAGTACTGAAATCAAAAGTTTCCTTGAACAAGAAGACAAGTTATGGAGCATGATTAAAGGCAAAAATCTAGAGGTGGACTCAATCATTTCTCTTATGCTGGACTCATAAGTATCCTATGCACAACCAACCAACTTTCTTTAATTTCACCAAAATCTTCTTAAAAAGATCGGTTTTAGAACCTGATCAATTGAGTAGCTTCTATTACATAATGATATTACAAATACGTGATGTGACTATATATACGATTGGATTAGAATTTCCTCAACTAAATAAGAAAAAAATTTCCATTTTTTTTATGCCTCATCTGTATATAAATCATTAGTTAACTCCTTTATATACAAGTAACATTATTCTGAATCTATAGCCACTAGTTGACAAGATTTTCGATATTAAATCGACATGGAATTTTTACCCTTATAAACACCACCAAACATGATCTATTACTAAAATTTTCTTGAGATGGCCTGGAAGATAGTAGTTCATAATTAGCTACACCCCCACATAAATTTTCTAGTAATTAAGGAATTGAAACTTCAAGAGCAAATTTCATACAAACTCTGCATGGCAACGGCCAATTATAGTACTACCATAATCAAACAGAAACATTATCATTAACCCACCTCGGCTCTCTTTGTCTAAAAACTTAAGCAATAATCTTGTGTATAATTAAATGGCGACGTGATTTAAGCTCATAAATTATTGAATCACCTCGTTTAAGACCTATGAAGGAACAAAATCATTTATTTAAATTTCAGTAAGTTCTACAACATGCAACGGTCAAAAATCACCTCCATTCTCTCCCAAAGGTCAAAAAGAACCAACATTTTTTCTTCTCCCTACCTTTATCTCTCCTACTTATTTTCATTCTCCTCTTGTTCTTCAATGGCTACTGCATTCTTGATCTTCTGAATACACACAGTTCTATTAACAGGACATTCTTGAATAAGTAAAAGTGGATTTTTTTACAATTTACAGCAACCTATTTCTTTTTTATGGAGTTGATCCCATTTTTCTGGTTTAGTTTTTTATTTTTCTCAGGATTTGTTGGATTTACTCTCTGCTATCAGGATGGTATGTGTACCTTCAATTTCTTTTCCTAATTTCCATTTTTTTGCAATGCTTTTTGTATAGATTTATTGCCTTGTGATTGTTCTTTTTACACAAAATTGAACAGGCTTCTTGAGTTTAACATGTGGTGGAACTACAAGTTAT